ACACACACACACACACACACACACACACACACACACACACACACACACACACACACACACTGCTATTTTCCTCCCAAACTCAGTAACCAGGATCACAGACTTTCCTAGGACCTAGTGAGGGTCTTGTTAAACATGGATCACCCTCCCCTGTCTTCTCCATTTGGGAAAGAAAAAGAGCTCACCCTCCTCCCAGAGCCCAGCAGATACTCCTCCGATCTCACACTGGGGCTCAGAAGTGCCCATCTGGGCTGCCACTAACACCGGCAAACCAGCACACCCCCAAACTAAGCCCAAACCGCGGCACTCCTCCGCCTCCAACTCCAAGCCTTCCGTGCACTCTCATACCAGCCCAAACCGACTCCAGCTCACAGGCTCACGTTCATTCACATACAGGCAGGCGGACCAACTCCCCCTGGGTTTCCAAAACACAGCCGCGGGACTCTGGGGCGCACTGGAACTTCACACGAGCAGACGCTTGTACACCCATGCCACGACGCACACAAACGCACACTGGCCTCGTCTAGCCAGACCCACCCCCGGTACACACCCGCGCACACACCTCTACACATTTTCACGTGCACGCAGACCCCAGAGCACACGCGTGCACCCCCTCCGACACACAGCTCTCCCCACCACACGCGTGCTCAAACTCACTCCCACACGGGTCCCCCCTCCCCATGCCGGCGCACCTCATGCATGCACACATCTGTACCCCCCAGCGCCCCAGGAGCCCGGTGGCACTTACTGGGTCCCTAGGTGCGAGGCTGGACGGTCTGTCCTTCCTCGAGCGCCTAACGGCATTTGTATTCATGGGTCCCCGCAGCCCCGGGCGCGGGCGCGGGGGCGGGGGTGCGGAGTCCCCTTCCCTAAACTGGGCGCAGGCGCTCGGGGCGCAGCGGAACCGGGAGGGGCATGGGCGCTCCGGGCTGCGCCGCTGGCCGGGTCCGCGTGCGCTCTGCGTCCTCCGGCTGCGGCGCGGGCTCCTGGCGCGGGGGGCGGTTCATAGGTGCAGGGGCCGTGGCGCCCGCCGGGCCTTTTGAAGTCTCCGCAGAGGGCGGGGAGGGGGCGCGCTGAAGGCGGCCTTTTAAACCGCGGCTGCACGCCGGTTCGGCGGAGCAAGGTGTCTGGTTTCAGCAAACTTTAGGAAAAGTCCCAAGCGGAGGGAGGTTGTGGGGGGAAGCCAAGGAAGAAAGAAAATGAAGCCGCTGCCCCTGCTTCCTGTAGGGGGCAGAGCACTAGCGGTTGCGGAGAAGGAGGCCCAGGGTGGTGCTGGGGAACACGCAGGCTGCTCGATGGCGCGTGCAACCCCCACAGCACTCCCTCCCCAGCACCCCCACGCTGACCCTGAGTTCTTCGTTTCCACGTAGAAGAGCCCCCAGGGAGTACAGGAACACCCCGAAACCGTGCACAAACGACGCACGTGTGCGCGTCTTGGAGAGCAGGGCCATGGGATTTCCTCGGGACTTCTGTCCTCGGGCGCTCGGAAGTCCCTGAAGGTTGAGAACTCCCGGTCCAATCAGAGTGGACTTTCCTGAGCTGCATACTTCGTGCGAGGCGGTTCCTGTCTTTATTTACATTTTTGGTATTTTGTTCCTGGTAGACTTTTTTGTATCCATTATGGCACCCTTAAAGTGTTACATTAAAAACGTTATGTGTTTTGATTATGTAAGGTTTATTTTTCATACTCCCTTGGATATTAAACTCCATTACTGAGGTATTCTTCTTTGTCATCCCCAATATTTTGCATCCTCCCTTGCCTCACCTTCGCCTGGGTACACTATGCTGAATAGTGCCCGTTATCACCATTTACAGAGGAGAAAGCTGATTTGCAATATGTGGCGAGGTGGAATTTGGACCAGGTGGTCTGATTTCCTGTCTTCCGCAGCAGAGCGCGGCAATCCAAATCTTAGCAGCTAAGGAGAAGGGAGCAGAGTCATGCCAGCCTCCCTTACTTTCATGTCTCCCAGCACCCCCACCCATGCCTAGACCCAGACTGAGCAAGTGGAGTTGCTTCAAGGGTTTGTCCATACTGCTCTTCCAGAGGCTCTCGCTCCCTGTTTCTGCCTAGTCTGTCTGTCCTTCTAGGGACAGCACAGAACTCCCCCCCCCACATCCATATTGTAGCACATGCCACACGGTGTTGTCATTGTCACATCCATCTATGTCCCCCCACACAGCATGGAGCCTGGGACACAATAGATGCTCCAACCATTAATAATGCAAATGCATTTCTTCAACGCCTACAGTGTGGAGCCCATGTACAAAGCTGGAGGAACCGGGTCTGCTTCCGTGGGAGAGAAGACAAAGACATTTGCACATGGTCCTGCTTTCTGAGCACACACACATCTGTAATGTGGACAGGAGAGGCGCACAGTACTTGTGAGAAGAGAGCCTGGATGGGGGTTGTCAGGCACCCATGCTGCAGAGAATCAGTTACATAAAGATAATACAAGGAGAATGGGCTAGATGCTGTCACAGAGTTACTGACGAACTGAATTGTCATGCAGGCAAAGAAATGGAGAAAACCAGGGAAATCCCTCCCCACTCATGAGGTGGCTTCAACTCCTGAGGGTATGTTGGATACACTTGCAGCCTTGGGAGAAAATTCATGGGCAAGAGACATTAAAAAAAAAAGCCACAAAGGCAGCCTTCAGACAAGTTTTGAGGAGAGAGTGAAGGGAATTGGGTGAAGAAACTATCCATTTCTCCCCCATGCACTCTGGGGTGATGCCCTGTGACTCACTGGCCACAAAGACATTTCCAGGCAAAGGGAAGCATCTCCTCAAAGGTCAGACAGCAGGTCAGTGACAGCGCCAGGCTTTCCAAACCTCACCTTAAATCTAAGTGTGCAGTAGTGAGCTCCAGATGAGACGTACTCCTGGGAGGCAGCCCAGAGCCAAGGGATACCCATGAGCGCCCATGGGAATTGATGCCATCCATTTCCAGAGTCCCACCTCCTCCATCACTTCATCACACCACCAAGATGATCATCTGCCTGGCTCCTTTGAGCTGGAGGGTGCTTGCTGGGCAATAAATCCAAGCCAGTGGTTCTTGAGAGCTGACTGCATTTTCTAGGGTGAGAAGGAAATGAAGTTCATGGTCATCCAGGAGCTGACAGTCAGCTGGAAAGAGCAGACAGACACTGATAAGAATTCTGGGGAAGGGACATTGTTTCCTGCCTCCTCTTCACACCCAGTCTTTCTGCCAAGTGGATTCCTGGCACAGAGCCACTGACCCAGCAGTAATCAGATGCGTTAGTGTCCAGAAGACAAGCACCATGGACTGGCCTGTGAACAGAAGGGCACACTCATCAGCCAGCAAAACAGGGGCGTGTCTGCAGGGCAGAAGGCCAGGAGGCCAGACGGAGGCAGATGTGACGGCCAGGCCCAGGTGAAGCCCAAGGCGGGGCAGGCCTTCCTGGCCAAGCAGCCCAGCCAAGGACCCATAGCTCTCAGGGGCACATCTGTCTTAAGACAACTGTTGATCTCAACAGCTTCATGGTCGACGCTAGTAGGGTCTCAGCAAATGTCTCCAAAGGAGTCACTGGGTGAAGACAGCCTGCAGAATGGAGACTCCAGTGATCAGCCCCATCGAGCAACCCACTCAGCTTTCTCCATACCTCTGTCCTCAGAGTGCTGTGATCTGCTGGTGGAGGAAATCAGGAACCAGACAGGCACATAACAGGACCGGAAGCTCTGCCTCACATCACACTGGTTTTGCCTGTGCCGAAGACGTGGATGAGAATGTAGAGGAGAACATGGCTCCCACATGTCAGTGCCAACCCGCCCGATGCTCTGTAGTGCTGGCTCACTAGCACAGGACCTTTTTTTTTTTTTTTTCCGTATCTGGAGCGGCACAGTTCTCTTCAGACAGATGTGCCCCTGAGAGCTATGGGTCCATGGTTGGGCTGCCTGGGCAGGGAGTAAACAAAGTCCTGAAAGTCCCACCTGGCACAGGACACAGCACACAACCTGTGGCTCATGAGAGCGTCGTTCATTTCAGAGCCACTCAGCCAACCAGGACATGCTGCTGTGTCAGGCTTGAGCTGGGCATTGGCCCCAGGCCATGCCAGCTGTGGGCATGTTGCCTTTCTGGAGCCAGCTTGAAACATACTGCCTGGCACATAGGAAGCACTGCCTGCTTGAGTGTGGGTTGGAGAACGCAAGGAATGCAGGAATGAGAGTCAGGTATGCCAGATTAGATCAGGTTAGCCCTCGGCCTCCGCTACCTCTCCCACACCGTGGCCCTTCCCTATCAACAAATATTTCTAGATGTCCACAGAGGACTGGATGAGGAAGAGGTACAGCCACATAGGAGAAGAGAGTTCAGCTCTAAGGTTGAGATGTTGCCATTTCTAGCAAAATGGAAGGAGTTGCAGAGAGTGGTGTGTGGTAAAGGA